TAAAAATGTCCACCCTACAAAGTGTGAAGATTATCTGTATTGGCTGCTGCTTCTTCTCTTACAGTCCCTTCAGGCAACATTTCTATACATAAATAATTTGAACTGAATTGGATTGAATTTTGGTTGTTTTATAATTTCTTCTTTCAGTAGGTCATATGTGGAAAAAAAGTGAACTCAGTAACATCCAGAGCAATTGATTGACTGTAAGAAAATAAATTGAGCTTAAAGAAATCCCTCCCCATTTCTCCTTCTTCATGTATCTCCTAATGTCTCGACCCTGGTTTGTCTTACCTAATTCTTTCTCCTGATCCATCCATCAGAGTCTTGTTGTTTCTCTCCTCTCACACGCCCTGTTCTCTCCCTATTGGCTTGTATCTCACCGTGTGTCTTTGCCACTCTCCCTCCCATCATCCTCTCTCCATCCTCTTTCTCTCTCTCTCCGTTGATGAGGTAGTGAATGAGAGGCTGAGCGAATAAGTACGGACGAGCAAGCGTAGCCGCTGATGCACTCCTGGTCATTAATAAAACTTTTATACAGTCAGGAAATGCATTTGAGCCCCGGTGGCTGGAGCTCCTCTCAGACGCACAGGAAATGGGTGCTTGGCCGACAGCCAATCCTGCTATTTCAGGGGGATCGTCCGGAGCCAATTAAGCTTTGCTTGGCCAGTTAATGGATCGGTGGCTCTGCTCTTCTCTACACCTAAATATCAGCAGCAATTAGAGGATGTGTGGTAGGTTGCACAAGTGCAACAAAATGAAACAATATAGTGGTCAGTTAGATTAGATTGGCGACCAAATCACTCATCTCGTGCAATAAAAAGCTACAAGAGAGTCACTTCTGGTACATGATTTTCTGTACATGTCACTCTAATTACAGTCTTTCTTCATATTGTATCAATTTAGATTTTGAGCTTACGATTTGCAATTGTCGTTTGGTACCAGGATTGATTGGAAAATAAGTGCAAAGCAGTCAAAATCCAAAGAAGATCTCTAAAAGAATGTTTGAAAAATCATTATTCAAGACTCCCTATCAAGCATAAAATAAATTTAAAGGAAGTTCAAACAGTGAGGTTTTGTGTCATAGAAAAATTTGGTAATTTATTGAATTGTGATTCAAGCGTTTCTTGGATTGCCTCTATAAAAGAATTATCAATCCTTTTTGTTAAATTGTATAACAGATATAATAAACTGGCAATTTGAAATCCCAGCAAAGACCAATGTTTTGTAAATCCCCTAACTCATCCTGGACTATTGATACAAATTTGCCTCAAACTGCTTCCAGTCAGAGTGCAGAATAAGTGGCCACATATCCCACATACACCTTGATAATTGTTAATATTACCTCCTTACTAAAAGTTAAACTTTAACTGCAGGGCTTACTGTAATAGTGATTTGTCCAGAACAAGTTGGGCAAAAGTATACTAGGAGAACTAATTAGTACATACAGTGAGTTAGACTAAAAAGTACTAACTTGCCATGTACTCATCTTCACATCACTTGCACCTCATTCTGCTCCAATCTTCAACTTTTGTTTTCTCTCTCAATAGACCCTGAAATCTTACAGTTGTTACAATTTCTTACAGATTTATTGTAGCAACTATAGATTTTCTAGAACACATACAAAAAAAGAACAGTAAGCAGAGTTATTTGGATGCGTCACTGCCTTGCCAACTTCTGGAAGAAGGCCAGAATTGTCTCTCTCACATGAAAGGAAATTGATTAGGATGTGCTGGAATAACCCTGGAATCTCCAAAGCTTAAGCTTGAAATGAACTGGAAATTGCAGGAAGTCCTGCAGCACTGTTGCACAAGAAAGAGACCCTTTTCAAAATTTATACTTGGCAAAATGCCTTCTCGAGAAAAATTTTATAGCCAGACGGGACCAAACTTGAGGCATTTCAGAACTGCAGGAAGTGTGTCAGAAGAAGCCAAACCGATCCTTCAAAACCAAAGAACCCACGGTAGTGCTGGCATTCTGCAGTGGGGGTTTGCTAATGCATGAAGTAGGGTTTTACCTCCCAATTCTCAAGCGTCACTTGCAGTCACTCAGTGAATGGTTGAAACCTGGACACAATCATATTTTTCAACAGGACAAAGATCTCAGACACATCAAAACTAGTTTTGGCTAACAGCAGGATTCTGTAATTAACTGCATCAAACATTTTGATACTTTAAAGCTTTAAAGCTTGGTCTGACAACGGGCATTAAGCACAGCAAGCAAGGTTAACATTCACCCATATAAACTCCAATAAAAGCACCCAGTAAAAGAATGTAAATAGTTCTGGTCACATGACACACATATTGTTCTGTGTTGTGTAAGTTGACTCTCATTTGCTCTATAGGTGGGATCTCTGTTCTGTGTCCAGGAGGTGTTTGTCACTAACACACAATAACATGCAACGTTGTCCTATACAGATACACAGAAACTGAGTGTGGAGTGTGGAAAGAAGAGAGCCGGCAGAAATAAATGACTTTGTCAGATGGATGCTCTTAATCAGGCCATGTGTCATTGATCTCTGCATGACCCAGAACATTACTTCCCATCTACTACTTTCATCTCAGTCAACTTATTTTTGCTTAGTTGGCATCCATGTTTTATTATCTGCAGAATGAAGTGGGTTTTTAAATGTTACAAGAGCATTTTAAAGCTAACAACAGAAAGACAGTTTGAAGAGAAACGGATTAACAAAACTTTGTTTATGAATAATCTGACGTATCACTGTCCTGTCTCAAACAATAGACTAATATGCTACCAATGCCATTTAGCTAGTTGCTGCATTACAACATTCCTCTTCTTGGTCCCGAGTTGGAAATTGATTTGGAAAGTCCTCTACATAACTGACATGATGAAATGGTTTCCTCTGATGTTGGACGCTTTCAGGGATGCCCTTTCAGACTTTATGGCCACCTTGGCTTGTGTTTTGGCTGCAGGTTGGGTGACCACTTCCTCCATCAGTGGGAAGTTTTTCCTTGATAGCATCTGCTACAGCTAGCTTAAATAGCCTTGCAAATTCTTTGTTGTCGACAGAGCGGATATTAAGCTGTTCTTTTGCTTGTCTGCGGAGCTATGATGACAAACTACTTGCCGCAATCATGTCATTTGATCATTTTTCTGACTTCAACCCTAAATTGAATTTCAAGACAATACTGATATTTGTGAAATATTGCTTTTATTGTTTTTTTAATATTACAAAAGAGAGCCATTATATAAGTCTGTAAAGTATTTCTGTCAAATTAGTGAGTTACAGTTTGAATTTTGTGAGATGTCCTTTTAAGAAGATGCCTCATACTTCTTGGGAAGACAACACTTCTTCACTGGAGGTGGATTTGGTTTCTTTTAGATAATCTCATTGTCTTTTTCCCATCCTAACATCTCTCTATCAGCAGTTTGTTTCATCTCAGATACTTTTCTCAACAGGAAACAGAGCTCCCCCTCAACCCCATTAGGGACCAGTGTCCAATTACATTCATGTGTGTGGATGTGTGTGTGTCTGCGTCTGCACATAGTGTATCTTACTGTAGCTCAGATCTTGCTGAGTAAGGACAGAGACTAAAAGAAAAAAAAAAGGTTCATTTGCACACCCAAACACACATGAGTGAGTTTTCCCACACCGCTGCACACACAAAAGGCGGGTTTCATATTACAGACATACAGCATTTTCAGGATGATCAGTCAGTGATGTCACTTACTGAACAAATGAGTGAACAGTGAGGGGAAAGAGTAGCAATCTCCATGATCACTTTCACTTCTAGCCTGTCCTCAGTCTAAACAAATTTCTGAATTGAAAAGAAATATCTTTCATGCTGCTGGTTTAACAGATGTACAAAAAGGAATGAAGAACAGAGTATCAGAGGTGATTGTTAAACTAATGTTTTTATTGACTAATTCCTCACAAATTGTGCTTTAGCTACAAAAACTGATTGACGTACCACAATGGTGTTTGTTTTCTTTGTTTTATGGTCCAAAAGACGCAACAAGTCAAGAAAAAACAAACAAAAAAGAAAAGAACAGAAGGCATCGGTGAGTCAAAATTCAGACCAATCACACAACAAACAGGCTTGCATGGTTTCAGTCTGTTGTACTGCTCTGCCTCAATGCAGTTGCCAACAGTTGGATCTTCTGGCTATTTGGTACTTGTCCACAGGAACAACAAAGAGCTGAAAAGGCATCCTGCAGCTTGAATGCATCCATCTCTGCAGGGGTCCAAAAACAGCCAGTGCAGGACGGTAACTTCAGTACTGTACTTAAGCACATTTTTTCTTTAAGGATCTTTACTTTGCTTGAGTATTTATTGTTTGGGAAACTTATAAATTAAGTTCCACTACATTTCAAAAACAAATATTGTACTTAAATGCATTTTTGAGTACTTATGTATTTTCAAAAGTAAGCATTATGGCACTTTAAGTTGAGTAATTTTCAACATAGCAACTTTTACCTGTAGTTGAGTAATATTTGACCATCAACACTTTGACTCAAGTATCAGGGTTGAGTACTTTGTCCAAACAGTGTCCCTGATCCCTCCAATGCTACTTCATCCAAATCACCATCATCTGAGGGTCAGGATTTTGCTTCTGCATCAAAATATATATAAATAGTTTATTTATTTATTGATGATGTTCAGCATGTAAGTCAAAGTTTTATTGATACAATGAAGCTAGTTTGCCAAAAATGACTTCACACTATGAACATAAATTCTTACATTTGGAAATTTTGATGAATCAGTTCTGTTTTAATGAAATCAGATTATTTTTTAAATGTTCCTCCTCTGGATCTTGACTTGATTCCAGAGCTTGTTTAAGTCCAACTTCTGCCCAGTCATGGTAAAGCAGAGTTAAGTGAATTGAGCTGAATTCAGTGATGAAAGAGGGAGGAGTTGGAGATGGGAAAGGAGGAGGGCTGACCAGAGATAATGTGTGTGTGTGTGTGTGTGTGAAAGAGAGACACAGACTGCATGCAGCACTCAGTCATTCATCTCTTAGAAAGAGGAGAGGAAACTACAACAGAAAGACAGGGAGACATTTTTTTCCCCCTAGCAATCCTGACTTGTATCTCCTCTCATTCAGACTCTAAAAGCTGCACCTTTTTCTTTGCAATCAAGTTTTCACACTGCAAGTTCAGCTACTGTGGAGATATTTCTGATTCACTCTCAGGCATGAAGACTCATTTTCTGCTCTGAGAACTGCAGACAAAATATACTGAAGTGCCTGTTTGTTTGAGATGATTCCAGCATCAGGAGCAGCCATTCCAAAGTGAATCTCTGTTGATCAAGGACAGAGAGGTGCTGGGGCCAGACTCTTTTTCTTTGCAGTTTACACAAATGGACTAGTTGACTTATTTTTGGAAGGTGAAGAGCGGGGTGACCTGGAGAGGAAGCACCCGGGAACAGAAAAGCTCCAGGAAGGAGGACGAGGAGGGAAAGGAGAAGGGTGCTTCAAACTGAGACAGCGCATCCTCCCATCTCAGAAACAGACACCAACAAGACCAGGTTTATTTTTATGTGTTTTAACAAAAAGAAACTGTAGGGATTCTGCACGCTCACATCCGGGACGCACCGGCACAGCGCCGCAGAATGGATCTCCCTCCAGTCAGAGGTAAGCATAAATTCATCCTGTCGCCATTCGATCTCATCATGATCTATTGGTGATTTGCCTGACCTTGAAGATTCTCTAGGAAATTCAGAGCCACTCAAACTCCCTCTTGTAGAGGTGGAAGCAGAGTTTGCTTCCTAAAATGTACACTGTTTAAAGTTTGTTTGTACTTAAGAATCAGTGTAAGTTTTTACATTTCAATAACAATAAAAACAGACTCTCAGGAATAAATCTGCATCACTTTAAAAAAACAAAGTGAGATAACTACATGTAAGCACTGTTGTTTGATCTGTTAATTAAGAACCAGCTGCATTACATGGTAATGCGACACCCTGCTCATGTTTTTGTGCATCCCTTGGAATTAAAAGCCTTCTAAATTCTCCTTCTCCTTCTGAATATATTTAATCATTGAACAGAACATACAGATAGTGCAAATGCTGCTCTAAAAGTCTCATTAATCAATATCTGAAAGAAAAACAGCATATAGACATAAAATTTATCATAGAAACAACAATGCTGGCGAGAAGAAATACAAATGCAAACAAGTACACATTAAATACGTTTGTAGAGCATTATGAACACTGTAGTTAAATATTAAAAAAAAAACATTTTTGTACATATTTTGAGAATCTTATTAAAAGAATAAAATAACACTTTTCAACATGCAGACCTAAAAATATACAATGTAAAACAAGAAGGTTTTAATCAGCAGGTCGTGTTTCTGCTCATCTTGTAATTTAACTGTTGCTTCACATAAGAAGTTGGTCATTTGAAATAGAAAATTGTCTTTTTGAAAATATGCATATACAAGTTAACCTTGTGTTGTATCTGTTTTATCACTTTAGTAAAACCCTGCAAAATTCCTAGATATGTTTTTACTCAGCAGTTTTGGGATGAAGTTAAGGTGACTTTATTGCAGCTGTTCCACTTCTAAAACCAATACTTAACTCCAGAGCAGTTTACATGTAACTGCATTGGGGACATATGAGGCCGGGATTGATCGTCCTCAAGGTCGGATGTAGAACGTCAATACCCATCTACGTTGGGTTGGGACTGGAGGGGCGGGTGGATGAGAAAATGATGGGATGGACTGATGGGAAGAACGGAAAGAAAGAAAATGAACCAGATGCAGGGAGGGAGGAACGGGTGGGCATTGGGAAGAAGTGTTCACTATAGTTGGACAAATGGACAGATGTTTGGAAGGAGAAGTTATCCACAAAGAATGAAGGATGGAAAGAAAGGAGTGGCGATATGAAGCACATATTCTCTTACTTTATTTAACAATAAAACAGCTGAGATGGCATCATTTCATTCAGCAAATATGGAACATCAATCTTTGGGGGAGATATGCTGGAGAAAAAAGTCAAAAAGCCTCCACATCTCACTTTCTTCTGGTAAAAACTGCAGTGGAAGGAAAAAAAGAAATATTTCATCCCCTGCTGATTTCTTAAAGTCTCCTCATTTAAGCAGAGGCCAAATAAAAAAAAAAAAGTGTGAAAAACGGCACAACATTAAAGTTAAAATATGGTAATCAAGTATTTGATCTCATTGCAGCGTTACGTAGAAATTGTTGGAGAAAGAGATAAACGTTCTGAGATATTTCACCAGGTTTTAGTGCTTTGCAACATTGATTCTGATCCACTGCTGTGGACAGAAACTATCTAAATCCTTAAGATTTCTTTGCTGTTTGGTTTTTCATCTTGAAAGACTCATCCATGAGACTAGATTTTTCAACCTAAATGTAGTTCAGTGGCTCCTCAATGCAATAAAGTAGAGCAACTTATTTTCATCCCATTCCTGCCTGTCTGTCAACCATGACTTTAATCATCACTTAATTTCCCTTTCTTACCATTCTGATCGTCAACTTGAACTTTTAGTAAGGCAAAATGACTGAAGGGCTAGCAAGCATTAGCTTTGCTAACATGTTATACTAGCTGTAACTTAATCCCAATAATGATCTCTAATAGGTTAGAACGTTTAACAGGGAAAACATTTGCATTTTGTGGTTTACGTTGCACCTATATGCATATTTAAACTTATCTAATGACAGTAAAAATGAGTAAAGCGCTGGCTGGTCTTACCTTAGCTAACATGTTATGCTAGCGATATTGTACTGCCATTTAATGATCTCTTAGAAGTTTGTAACTTTGAATTAGGTTTGACATTCCTCCCAGCCCTCTGGTGTTCCAGAGTGCAACCAATCGTAAGGCAGCCATTTTGGATTTTGAAGTCAGACTCAGTGAGAAATCTTTAACTTTAAGTTTCCAAGTATTGTCCTCAATAGGTTTTACTGATGATTATTTTAATTAGAAAATTGTGACTTTGAAATGGTTATGCTAGCCTTTATCTTGAGTAGGATCTTTAGCTAATCTTTTACTTAGCAAGTAGCCAGAGAACTTTATCATTCTGAGGACACCACTTATTTTGAAGCTGTGTTTTAAGGGTTCAGTAAAATCGATAGTGAATAATGCTAAAGATATATATTAGCTAACTTTTAGCATTCTCTTTTGATTTATTTTGCTATAAAGTAATCTCTTGAGGCCAGATGGTGATCAAGAGTAGCATGTAGACTCATATTGCATATGAATGAAAATTTGTGGTTGTATGTATTTATTTATTGTTCTTTTTGGATGTGATGTTTTTATTGTTGTACTGCAGTTTTGCCCCTGATTTCTAGACAAATTTCTCCGACTAATAAATTATCAAATTATCTCATCTTTTTCAACTGTATGGCAATATCATAGTAAGACAGAGTAGTAAAATAGAACAAGATATCAACTCTCTCATCTGGTTAAATAAGTGTAAGTGAAACTGAAATTCAACCCAGATTTGAAATATCCACACTTCTTCTTATAACTGGACAGAAAAAAAAAAATAATTGTGTCCCATGTAGCCTGCCAGATGATGGATCATAGGATTTATCTTTTGGTATCTATTTTGATTCAAGCTTTTATTAATTTCTGTTTTATTTAATTTATTTTATTTTTTATTAATTTCTGTTTTATTTACATCACACTTATTTGAATATGTAAACAACTGGGTCATATAGTTTCTACTTCTTTCATTTTCATAATTTTAAACATACATTGTTCCCTCATTCTCTGGTTCTTCTCTCTTCCTGGTTTCCTCCTTCCCCTGCCTGGACTTTATGGTCTGCAGTGTCTATTTCAGTCTTTCCGCTGGGGTCAGATTCGGCACATCCGGTATCTGCTGAGCTCCCAGAGGGTGTTGGAAGGAAGGCCCCTGGGTCTTAGTGCCAGACTTTTCCTTAAAGGGAAAATCATAGAAGCAGAAAACTCTGAAGTGATGACATCAAAAGATTTGACCTGATGAATTCTGCTGGTGAGAAACACTCAGGGTATTTATACGTAAAGATGAACAAGAAGGTTTTCTATATGAGACTATAAGACAACTCAGAAGACATTTGAAACTGAGAAAACATTTTCTTAATGCAATGTTGTGGTGGTAGGAAAATAAAATGACTATGCATTGCCACTCTTGAAAAACAGTGCAGTTTACAAAATTTAACTTATTTCCTCTTGATAACTTGGCAACTGGAGGCACAGCGGGGCAAAAATACCAAAAGAGTTGAAGGGAATGTCAGCAGGACTGGATGGGTGAAAAGCAGTTGAAAGAGTGAGTGGAAGGAGGAGGAAAGGAAAATGGGAAAAGAGAGGAGAGGGAAGGGCAACCCCTCCTCATTCCAAACTGTGCTGTTGGTTTAAAAATAGTCTGAAACCATGATGTCATCTTACCCCAAAACATGCTTAACATCAGTGAAGTTCAGCAGGTAAAGTTCAGCGACAGTCAGGAAGTTTCTAGTTCAAATATTATAGTACACTTCATATGAGAGAAAACTTACTAACAAGTATCACAACACCAGTTTCCACTGGCTCCCTGTGGCTCAAAAAATAGACTTTAAAATACTGTTGTTAGTTTACAAATCACTGAACGGTTTAGCAACACAATACATTAAAGATCTGCTGTTGTATCAACCTTACAGACCTCTCAGGTCTTCTGGTTCTGGTCTGCACTGCATCCCCAGAACCAGAACCAAGAGAGGAGAAGCAGCTTTCAGCATCTATGCACCAAAAACTTTGGAACAAACTTCCAGAAAACTGTAAAACAGCAGAAACCCTGACTTCCTTTAAATCTCAACTAAAAACGCACCTGTTTAGAACTGTATTTGAAACGTAATATGGAACAATGTATTGTTTATTCTATGTTGCATGACTTTGTGTTTTTGTGTTTATGATGTAAAACACTTTGAAATGCCTTGCTGCAAAGAGCTTGTTTTAAGCCAATAATTCCTTAATACAGATGAAAAAGAACTAGTTGTTGTTATAACAAGATGTTTCTCTTGTTTCAAGACAAATAATCTTCCAAAGGAACAGAAACTTTTTTTAAATGTTATAAATATTAAAGAATTATTGACTTAAAACAAGCTCTTATATCTTGCATAAAAGTTACTTGTAAGTTAGTATTATTTTATTTGAAGCGCAGCAAGAAATTTGACTAGAAACTAGACCAATAATACTTGGTAAGATTTTGTGTAATGATTGCATAATTTGTTGTAACTCTAATAGTCCACAATTAATAATATTTTAAAGGACTGCAGGATTTGTTGGTCTTTCTTTCAGTTGTCATGGATCCACACTGTGCATACTGATGAGCTATTGAGCCCATTGGATGGAGCTTATTGCAGCATTCACTCCTAACTTAGACAGCTGACAGTGACAGTCATTCAAATCAAGGCAGGAGGTCTCTAAAGCCTTTCATGGGCATGCTGATTATGGGATGTTCCATTTGAAATACACAGCTCTGAGGTGTTTAAGTTTGCACAATTTGCTTTAATAGACTAGTGTACTCTACTTTTCTGAGTTCATGATAGACTCTATTTGTGCTGATCTCTTTAAATTCCAATTGGTGATGATTTGACTTATAGGAGGAGCTCGGTTTGATTCATTTGAAGGTTTTTGTAAACTTTCAATTGAATTTTTTAG